ATTCTTCGTGACCAGTATATTCCATTACCGCAGTAGGCGGAGTTTGGACGAATCCTATTGATCTCCCATCTCATGGCTAGCTTTTCCATGATTAGCGTATCAAGAACTCTCCTAGGTTTTAGACGAGCGATGTTCCTCCCACTGTATGATTACCGTCTATCTTCAATGATACTACAGAATGACATACCATAAGATTCGTCTCGACAAGCTTAGTCTAACACCGCTTTTCGTTTTGAATATATCTATGTTGAAAGAGGTTATGGCGACGTTTTGCGGCGGATTTTCGCATTTTTTTCTATAGAAGTTAAGCGGTATTGTATATTGACGCATGAAGCCAAGCAGCAGACGTAATTATCGAAAAAATGAATAGATTATAAGAGTCCAAAAACATATACAAAAAGGACACACAATAAAACTTCTCTGCGAACACTTTTATTCTAACCTATGATCCTGCCAGCATCTTAGGAGCTTTGATTTCAAGAGATTTTGAACAAAGGTAAACTTTGTTGAAAGAGATGAACTCAAATGTGTCCATTTTTCACCAAATTTCCCTGCATCACTATGTAATTCACTTACTTCAAGTGCAAGCGCCTTTCGAAACAGCTGCGAACTGAAGTTCAATTCTTTTCGAAGACAATTCAGTTGTTCTTGTATGTTTTGGTCGTCCTAGAATTATGGTTTCTCAGATGATTCCGTAATTTAATGTTTAAGCATCATGGCAGCAGCCACTTGAGCCAAGAATATTCAGAGCTTACATTCAAACATGAGACGAGTTCCGTTTGATAGTTACATTTCTTTTGCGCCAAATCCTCTGGGGTGTATTCGTCACCTATTACTTCATATGTATAGTCGCCACTTATCAACTTTTGACACCTAAATTTAGTTAGTATACGAGGTTATGGAAAAGCTGTCAAACTACTACACTTACCTCAAATAGCTAATCAGGTTCTCCAAGTTCCATGCTGGAGTTCCGTGTCTGTGAATCGCCCAGCCAGCTGTAGCTGACCCGCTCATTATAATCGCTTGCTGAGCGAGACCTATAGAATTTGAGAGCACTGGCTTTTACAAAGTTTACCATGATAAACGTCATTAGAAATGAAATACTGTTAAGTATAATATAGAAACCTTGAGTTTTGGGACTAAGCGCCAGCAAACTAGCCGCAGCTCCTCCTGCTGATTCTCCCATTAAGGTAACTCTATTCGGGTCTCCTCCAAACTGCTTGATATTAGATTGGATCCATTGAAGAGCCATCGCTTGGTCCCAAATGCCGAAGTTACCCTCGGATTTGTCGCCAGCTCTTATGTTCAGAAATCCTAAACAAACAACTCTTGCAAGTAATTTTCTTGTTTACAACAGATAAAAATCGCACAAAAAACCACGTTTTTGGAAA